ATCCGCCTCATTATTACAAGAATGTCCACGTCATCCTGCTGCTCCTTGCATTTTGTTCTAGTTGTTCGTGATGAGGGTTGTGAGAAGTACTGCCATAACGTCGCCATCAGTCCGGGTGGGGGAGGGGGCAGGGGAGCAGGGGTTCTCAAGAGGGACCGATTGAGCCTAGCCTGCAGCGCTTTCATCACTGGTTGTTTTCCTACTGAGTCGACCTCTAACCGATCACTACTGGTAGAGCAAGACCGCTGGAGGCGCCCTTTCTGACACGCCTCTTCTGATTTTCACCAACTATACCCTGTTTTCTGGGGTGTGGGTGAGTGATCTTCACTGAGTTATAGATGTTTTAATAGTAATTAGAAGATCAGACTACGCAAAAACACCAAAAAGCTGTCGGTATGTTCAGGTTTCCCTCGCGTTTTCACGACTCAGCCGATAGACGCGCCTCATACTGCGCTAAAAAAATAGTAATCATTGGAGCAAAATTGTTTGAAAACTAAGCAAGTCGCTTAGCAAGAGCCGATAGACGCGCCTCGTACTGCGCTAAAAAATAGTAATCCTTGGAGCAAAATTGTTTGAAAACTAAGCAAGTCGCTTAGCAAGAGCCGATAGACGCGCCTCGTACTGCGCTAAAAAAATAGTAATCATTGGAGCAAAATTGTTTGAAAACTAAGCAAGTCGCTTAGCAAGTGCTACGGTCCGACCATTAGCGGTAGAGCGCTGTCCCTGGATAGCTAGTCACAATATGTGAACGAGCGGCCGAAATCAATCAACGCAGAACATCTCAGGCAGCGTTCAGACTTCGCGCTGAAGCGCTGCGTTGCGCTACGGCGCGCTAGTGTTGCGTTAGCGCTCCAACGCTATAGACGAAAACACACTCACAAAAAGATATCGATCGGCGCTGGCCTCTTGTCTTCAGAACATACCTTTGGACTAGTATCGATCGGCCGCGGTCGCTTGTGTTATGGAGAAGTGTAGAAGAAAAGGAGGGCATCTGACTAAGTGCGCCAGTGTTATAACACCAAAAATAGACATAAGTGTCTACCATGTCCTTTTCTACATGAGATCCGATATTCCAGACGAAAAGATAGTGCAAATTAAGGAATGTCGCGCCCATTGCCGCGACGAAGCGGCAACTTACGGTTCCCTTGCCCGTCTCCCTTATGAGAGTGCACAGAAGAATGGTAGAGACTGCAGACCTTCACATTTCATGAGCCTGATCATACTTCCACACTGTCTGGTGTCATTTCATTCTCCCATACCCTCCTAAACAGGGCACATCTTCAGTGGGAGATTTTGGTCCAGTCTGTACGACTCCTCTCCCACTAAAAGGTGTTTTGATACGACCCCCCCCCCCGCCTAGTTCCCTCCTCATCGAGCGGAGGGGGAGAGTGCACAGCACATGTGAAAAAGGAAAAACCACGAAAAATCAACAGCCTCTCTTAAAAGGCCAGAAGGCTAATAGGACCCTGCTCTCCCAACAACGAGCGAACTCTTTCCCCTCCCCCCCTTTATAGCGTCCCTGAAACAAGAAAAATCAACTATCGAAATCTTTTTAGACCAGATA